GCCTGTAATTATGCCTGTAATCCCAGCACTCGGGAGGCTGAGGCAGGAGGATCATTGTGAGTTCGAGACCAGCCTGGCTACAAAGTGAGCTGAAGGTCAGCCTGAACTGCATACTGAGACCCTGTCTCAAAAAAAAAAAAGAAAAAAAAAAAAAGAAAAAAGACTTAGTGTAAAGTCTGGTCTTTTCAACAAGTGGTGGGGGAAGAACTGGACCTCACCTGCCAAAAAAATGAGTCTAGACACTGACCTCATATTCTTCAAAAAAATTAGCTCAAAATGGATCACAAGCATAAGTGTATGGAACTCCTTGAAGATAATGCAAGGGAAAGGCTAGATAATCTAGGAATGGTGATGATTTTTTGTTTAGATATGCCACGGGGGGCACACTATGTAGAAGAGAATTACTAAGCTGGGCTGCATTAAAATTAAAAATTTCTGTGTAGCAAAAGACACTGTAAACAGGATGAAAAGACAAACCACAGACTGGAAGAAAACATTTGTAAGATACATGTGTTACCCAGAATACACAAAGAGCTCTTAAAACTTAATAGTAAGCAACAACCTAATTATGAAGTGGACCACAGACTTTAACAGACACCTCATCAAATAAGATATATGGATGACGAGAGACCATGTGAAAAGATGCCCTACGTCATATGGCATCAGGAAAGTGCAGACCAATGAGATGCCACTACACACCTTTCAGAATGGCTAAAGTCTAAAAACATGGACAACACGAAATCCCATGAAAACGTGGAGCAACAGGAACTCTCTCATTGCTGGTAGGAATGCAGAGTGGTACAGCCTCTTCAGAAGGCTTGGCAGTTCCTTACGGAAGTAACTATCCTTGTATACCCATATCCTCTAGCAGTCATGCTTCTTGGTTTTTACTGAAAGGAGTTGAAAACTTAGTGCAAAAACCTGCATACAGGTGTATATAACAGCTCTATTTGTAATTGATAAAACTTGGAAGTGTCCAGGATACCCTTTAGGAGATGAATGGATAAACAGTAGTATATCTACTGTGGACTGAAATAGAGTTATCAAGTCACAAAAAGACATAGAAGAACCTTATATGCTTATTACTAAGTGAAAGAGGCCAATCTGAGAAGACCTAAATAATGTGTTTCCACTTATATGACATTCAGGAAATGGAAAAACTGTAGGGAGATGGTAGAAAGCTCAGTGGTCACTACGAGTTACAGAGGAAGGAGGGATGAATATACCTATGGGATGGAGGATTTTTAGGGCAATGAAATTACTCTGTGTGATACTGTAATAGTGTATGTGTGTTATTATCCGTTAGTCCATAGTGAGAATGCACAACACCTGGAGTGAAGCCTGATGTAAACGGAGACGAGGTCAGTGTAGTTTCATCAGAGCATAACACATGCACCGCTCGGGTCGGGGAGGTTGACGGGGGAGCTGGTGCGTGTACGGAGCAGGGAGCACTCTGGAATCTGTACATTCCTCTCCATCCTGCTCTGAACCTAAAACTGCTCTACAGTCTTGTAGTGAAACTTACATGTGCAGTCTCTTTGAGTACGTTGATTTCCATTAATTTTAATATTTAATGGAGAAAACATACTTTCCAGATGAAATTAAAATCAGCTGTTTAGACTCAGTCCCTGAAACATCTATGCAAAATCTCAGTGCTGAGAACACGGTTTGAACCACCCTGAGCCCTTTCTTCAGCATTTTGATGGAAAGCCTGTACCTGAACATGTCCACGGTGACAAGGATCTCCTGTCTCTGCAGAGAAGCCCCGTCCCTGCCAGATGCACTCATTCTTAGGCGGGTCTTACATGGTGCTAAAATCTCCATGGAACTTCTACCCAGCCGTTCCCGGCGCTGGCCTCTGGAAGTGGCCCCCGTCAGTGTGACACAGGTGGTTGGTGTGTTCACAGGAGGACCTTTCCTCATCCAGATGCCCCATTTCCTGACTTCCCCACCCCGAAGGTTTGCCAATATCCCAATTACCCTTCTCTGAGAGTCCTGCCACCACCAGTGACTATGGAAGAAGAACGTGTGGAAATGCCCAGGTGCATTGTATTGCTGCAGAGCTACTGGGCCTGGATCTGCCCAGATGTATTTTCCCAATGCCTGTAGGTACACATCAGTTTTGATTCCGGTCTTTTGCCATTGTGTTGATGCAGTGAAAAATGTGTCATTTCGTAAATATCTATAGAATAACGTTCTAGGAAAATGAAGTGGGAGAGCATGTGTATTTGAAATTTTATTAAATACTGTCACTTTCTGTAGCAGTAGTTCCATTTTACCTTGGCATCACAGTTTGTGTGAGAATGTCTCTTCCTCACACCATCTTTAAGACAGTGTTATCCTAACATTTGATCTTTCAAAAACCTCACCTGTGAACAGTGGCATGTCATCTCTTTTTTTTTCTTTTTTTTTGCAACAGGGTCTCACTGTGTAGTTCAGGCTGGCCTTGAACTCACTGTGTTGCCCAGGCTGGCCTCAAACTTACGGGCTCCTCCTGCCCTAGCCTCCCAAGTACTGGAATTACAGATGTGTGTCACTGTGCTCCATTTCTTACCACAGTCTTAATTTGCATTTCTCTTCATTTTGAGAAAAGTTGAGAATGTTTCTATATCTTTAAGTCACCCTCTCCCTGCTAAACTTTGTTGATCTTTTATCTTTGGTGTCCAAAAATGCATTGTGGCATGCCAGTGTGGGTTTTTTTGGTCTTCTTCAGTTGTCCTGGGTACTTTAGTATGTCCTTCAGCCTGGAAACTTGTGTCGTTTGGTTTTGGAAAATTTATCCCATTTTTCTTTATTTTCATTCTTTTGTTTTCTGTTATTTTCTCTAGAGCACTTGTCTTTTTCATTTCTTTAGTGACTTTTTTTGCAGCTTTGATTTTAGTTTGTCTTCTTACCCTTTTATTTACTTTGTTAAAACTTCAGGAGCGGTGGCTCCAGGAAATTGCAACAGTAAGAGCAAACCCTGCTACACCCCGCGGGTGGTGAGATTCAGTGTGTACTCACCCCGGCCCCTGCGCTACAGGGATGTGTAGGGGAGAGGGGTGTATGGGATATCTGCCCATGTGCCCACTCGAAAAGACCATTTTCAAGGGGAAAATTTTGGCATTCATGTTTTAAATTTTGAAGCTCCCCACCTTTCTCCAACTTGCTTTCTTAAAACATCCTTTCTCGCCGTGGGTATCATGTCACTCCGCGAATGTCATCAGTTACTCTCTGTGGGCACGCAAGTAGAGCTTTGAAAATGCTCTCCGCTGTTCCCGACACTGCAGTCTCCTGCACTGTCATTTTGCTGCTTATCTCAGTCTCGTAGATGGTCAGAGGGGCAATAGAAAGCGGAGAAAGAGCACTGAGTAGTGAGGCAGGGCAGGCTGTCAGCCCTCGAGCAGCGTCGAGGTACGTAGGGGGAGCCTGGGCCCCAGCTGGTGAACCTCCTGGTTCCAGGGCAGCAGGACTCAGGGGCGTGTGTTGGAGTTCTCTCAAATTTGTTTCGTTCCTCCCTGATCTCTCTTCTGGGAAGAGGTAGGCAAACACTTGGCTGCTGGGTGTTTCGTGTGCTGTTAGAAGGACTTTGAAGGAAGGTATTAGCTGATCCCATTTGAAGTTTAAACCATTCCACTTGTTTTCAGCTTAGTATTTCGGTTCTGCCCTGACCCAACGAGGTGTAGCTCAGGCTTTAGCTTCCTGGTGGCCCGCTAGGCGTGTGGGCCCCTCTGTGCTGTGGCTCGTTTATCCCGCCCTGGACTGCTCTCTCGCCTCCTAATTCACCGTGCTCAGAGGCTTGGGTCTGTGAGCCGCCCCTTCCCACCTGCCATACTGCTTCACATGTCCTGCGGCATTTTAATGAGGTCTCAGAAGAAGAGAATTCCCCTGTGGCCTGTTATCCTCTCCATGCAGAAGATCTTGTTTCTTCAGACTGTGTTTTCCACTTGTATCTTCCCATCCCCTTTGGTTCTATTATCAACTCTTTGATTTGCTTATAATAATAATTGATTTTGGCCAGGGCAGTTATTGCTACACTCTCTTTATACTCACAGAAGGTGACTTAACCAAGAGCTTAGAACTTAAAAGTGGTAAAACATGTAATCCTCCAAAACAGCACGGTAGTTTCTCCAAATCCACTTTTTCTATCTGTTTGAGGGTCTGAACTATCATGTTTGTTTGGAGGAAAGATTTTCCTCACTTACAAGTTCATTCTCATTAGCTAAAGTTTATCCTGGAGCCTGACACCCACACTTAGATAAAAATGTATCTTTTTAGTTGTTGAATAATAGTTTTGATCTTCCTGGCCTGTCTCGGTAAGTTAGATCATTGCTTTTTGAAGAAAACATGAGCGACAAAGAATAGTGACAATATTTGCCATAGTCATTTTTGTTGTTTTTTTTATTTTGCTGTTGTTCTTTTGCTAAGTCAAAAAGGACTGGAGTAAAGGTGTACATTCACCAAACATTTATGTTATCTCTACATAGACTCTAGGAGAGATTAATAGGGGAAGTTTTAAAAAAAATGGACATCTTTAAAGAAATTTGAAATAGTTCTTTACCAACCTAGTTACTTAGGTGTATGTTGGTTTGGTAGTTAATTTTTCATTTTAAAGTGATGATATTAAGCTGGGCATGGTGACACACACCTGTAATCCTAGCATTCAGGAGGCTGAGGCAGGAGGATCGTTGTGGGTTTGAGAGCAGCCTGGGCTACAAAGTGAGCCTAAGACCAGCCTGAACTGCATAGCAAGACCCTGTCCCCAAAAGACAAATAAATAAATAAAATAAAGTGATGATATTGCAGATATTCTAATTTTAATTACTTTTATTTAAATAATATGACAGTAAATACATAATCATCTCGTGTATGTAGTAGAGAAGACTGTACTAGTTTTCTAACAAAACTAATGTCAAGAATGATATTTCCATTTCTTTGAAGTCATTAACAGAAATATAATTAAATGGTTACTTAAAGCGTGATCTGGATAAGTATAAAGATTAAATCTTTTTTAAAAATAGGAGCAGATGTCTCAAGTATTAGATGCCATGTTTGAAAAATTGGTCAAAGAAGGGGAACATGTAATTGATCAAGGAGATGACGGTGACAACTTTTATGTAATTGATAGGTAAGTTTTGCCCAACCTCACTGCTGCTATTTGTTATCTTTTGTGTAAAATCTCAGTGGTTATTGTGACAGCTAAAACGTTAATACATGACAGTTGCTATTTCCCCTTTACTCTTACTACTTTTGTGAATACATGTGATCGAACCATGTACATTATGAGAAGAGGCCTTGTTTATAGAGAAATTGATGATTTTTGGTTAATCTGTAGATCTCAGTCATTAATGTGAGCATCCTTATTTGGTAAATTCAGTTTGGAAAATACTGTGTAACAGTGTGTAGCAGATGCCTATTAATAGTGAGAATAGAACTAAAATACAATGTCTAGGATATTAGAGTAGAAATTAGTCTGTGTTACTGTTTTTTACAAGCTCTTTTTATTAATTATAAAATAAATATGCTCATGATTAAAAGAGTTCAGATATTTTGAAGGGTACACAGTAAGGGTACACAGTCAGTCTTCCCTACTGCTTCAACCTCACCCAGGCAATAGTGAGCAGTTTGTGTGTCTCTTTTACTTTATGTACTGTCATATTTGTCTTTTAAAAACTCTTGAGAGAGAAACTGTTTTATTCCAATAAGAAGGTATGCTTTGCTTTTGAAAGTCTAATTTCAGAAAATTTAATTTGTGTTTTCTTCATCCAAGAACAATGTGCTTTTGGGTGTTTTTTGTTTTTTTTTTCTGGTTCCGGGAATCAAACTCATGACCTTGTGCTTGCCAGGCAGGCGCTGTGCCACTGAGCCGAATCCCCAGCCCAACAGTGTGCTTTATATGGTAGTTAAATGATGAGCAAAGCAGGGAAGCGGTGTGGAGTGGGTCTGTGTTTCTTCCCTTTTGTGACGCGATGATGAAGCGTCCATGTGTTGTAGTGGGGTTCCCTAAGCTCTGCAGATGGACTCCAGCCAGACCCGCTGGATGGCATTTACTTCTTTGAGTGGGGTGTGGGAGGCCTTGCTGAAGCCACACCTCTCCGAAGTCCCCGGCCTCCTTTCCTGGCTGTGGCTCCGTGCTGGTGTCTCTCCCACGTCAGGCATGCGTGCTCCTTGAATCAGAGGCTTCCGCAGCTCCTCCATCCCCTCATCCCTGATGCCCAGACACCTTGTCCCAAGGCACACGCCAGATTTTGAAGTAGAACAAAACCAGTTATCCCCTACATAAATCAGAGTCATGATTTCAGTATTATTAACAGCTTTCATCAGTGAAACAACTTAGAAATTCACTCAGCAGCGATTAGTTGGAAGGGACTATGAGAACCCCAAATAGAGTATGGTATTAATCTTTTTTTAGTAGGTATTTTTACTCTCAGAACTGCCTTATGTTTGAATGTAGTATGTTCCCCCGCTGACATATGAAACATCCAGGTGCACAGAAGTGAGAGGGCTCGCTCAGGTCACCCAGCTGGATAGCGTGCAAACTCCCTCACTGCCGTATCCTCTGCTTCCCTCTGAGCCCTTTCCCAGGATTTGTGCCTCTGTGGTCTCACATTATCAGGCAAAATCTGAATGAAAATCAGCCCACGGTATTTTAACAAAAGTTAAACTGATGCAGTTTCAACTGAACTGGTAGCTCACTATACTTCTCGTCAGTGCATGTTGCTTTACACTTGATCCTCTTCAAAGTGGTAAATGTAGAGAACAATTTCAGTGCAAAAGTATAGTTGGTGTAAATGGCAGAATTCAGTTTGTACTTGAAAAATGACTGATCCGTAGAACAGATTCTAGAATGTATCCTTGAAATAGTGATTCTCTCCATGAATTACATTAAAAACCAATTACTGTATTTCCTTCCTTCTTCGTTGATATCTTTTGTGTTATGTTTCTGCTTTATTATTTTGCTATCATTTGTAATCCTTTTCTAATCCTAAACGTCACTACCTTTCTTGCCCGCTCCCTGCTTTTTTGTCTTTGCTGGGGTTTAGCCAGCAGAGTAAAGACCCTTTCTCAGGCGCTTCAGCAAGGCTTGCAGCCCTCTTCTCTCTCAGAAAGTATGGTACAGGGAGAGGCAGTCCCTCTACCGAAAGGAGAGTCTGTAGAAGTGTAGGCCCCAGATAATGTGGACAAGTAATGGAGTCTTGTTTGCCTGGAAAAAGAACCTCAATTAAAAGATAGGTACAGAAAAACTATACATTTTCAAGATGAGGATCCTATATTTAGTCTGAATTTGTTTATTACTTTTAAACTCTAGATTGGGAGTTGATCTCAAGTTAAGGGCCAGATTGTATAAAGAGCCAGAGAGTAAATATTTGAGGTTTTGTGGACTAATACGATTTCTGTTGCAGCTATTCAACGCTGCCAGTATGAGCAAACCAGTCGTACACAGTGCATAAAGTAGCAAGTTTGTCTGTATTCCAGTAAAAGTTTATTTTAAAAAGAAGGTAGCCAATCTTTGGGCTGACCCCTGCTATCAATTATAAAGGCTTGTAGTGAGTTCTGTAGAAAAGGAGCTCACCAAACTGTTACATAGCTCTGTTGTTTTTTAATCAAAAAAAAATCTTTCTTCTGATCACAAAAAATAATACGATTGTCCCTAGAATTCCTCAGTGTTCCTATGCTATGAATACAGTGTTTCACATATGTGGTCTCATGTTTTTGTCTTGTATTTTATTATCTTAAATTTGTGTTGTTTAGTTCCCTTTTCCAGTAGGCATACGTACGTAGGCCCCCTACCCTAGTCTAGCTGATGGTGGTCTCGTGCTGGCAGGACAGACTGGTACCTGTTGGTGTCCTTTTATTACTTGTCATCAGATCAGATGAGCTTTTGCTGCACAGGACTCGTTTCTGAAATAGTTTAAGTGCAATGAGATTTTATTTGACTGACCTTTGCCTCTAATTTACATATGTCCAACAGAGGAACATTTGATATTTATGTAAAATGTGATGGCGTTGGAAGATGTGTTGGTAACTACGACAATCGTGGGAGTTTTGGCGAACTGGCCTTAATGTATAATACACCCAGAGCAGCTACGATAACTGCTACCTCTCCTGGTGCTCTGTGGGGTTTGGTAAGTAAAATGTTTGACCTGAATGTTACTTGTAAAAGTCATTTTGACCACAGCCTGGTAGACACCGTGTTTCAATTTTAATAGGTAGGTTTACTTGGGATCATTAGTCATCAGCGAATTTACTAAGCAACTGCTGGATACTGAACTTTGGGCATGAAGACTATGCTAAGTCAAGCTTTGTGTCCCCACCCTCGTGCAGTCAGATCTGGAGCTTTAGATCTGCCAGCGCGAGGCAGAGCCCAGATCCTAAATGCTCCTCACCTACTCTTACCAACAGCCCTTCAAACAAAGACTTCAGTGCTTTTTCTCAGATAGCTTTCTAAGTACCACACTACAATGGTATTAATGCGAGGAGCCCTAAGTGCTGTCCCCTGATACTGTGTCTGTATCACCTGGGAACTTGTCAGAAATGCAGTCAGGGGCTCCCTGCACTGCCTCTGGCCTGTGAACCTGAGACTCTGGAGATGGGCCCATCAGTCTGTATTTGAGCAAGGCTTCCAGGTGAGCCTGATGTATGCTAGTTTGAAAAACCACTAGAAATGGCTTCTCGTGGTGGTACTAATTGATAGGTAATACCTTTGTATTTAAGAGTGGCTATGTACAGCAAAAATGTTTCTTACCTGGCTGCACATCAGAATTACCTTGGTTGTTTTTTTTTTTTTTTCCATCTTGCCTAGACCCTAGAATCTCAGCAGTGGGCTCTGGACATGAGTATAAGTTGGGTATCTCTAATTGGAAAATCTGAAATGCTCCAAAATATAACACTTTGTATGCACTGACAAAACGCCACAAGTGGAAAATTCCACACATGACGTCATGTGACAGGCCACAGTCAAAACGCACATTGCAAATATATTCTAAACTTAGCTTAAGACTACACATGAAAGGTGTTTAGGAAGCATAAATGAATTTTGTGTTTAGACTTGGATCCCATCCCCAAGATACCTCATTATGTATGTAATATCCCAAAACTTGAAAAAATCTAAAATCCAAAACATCTCTGGCCTCAAAGATTTGAAATAAAGGGTACTCAACCAATAGCTTTAAGTAAAATCTCTATGGTAGTATAAGACTTAAAAGTTGGTTTAAAGACATTGTATTTGGGGAAGAAACAGAGTAGGGAGGGATGTTTTCACATGTTTTCTCACGTGATAGGAGGATGCAAAGGATCAGCTGCTACTAAAGCTGAGTCTGAAAGATTGTATCAGGTGGTGATTCTCAGACTTTGATAACCTGCAGATCCCCTGTGAGTCTGCAGTACAGAGCTGATCCCGGGGGTCCCGGGTGAGGCCTGCAGTCTGCTTTTCTCGTCAGCTCCTGGAGATAGCATTGCTGCCTGTTGTGAGACCTCACTCTAAGCAACATGGATGTAGGGCAATGTTCACAGTGCATGTATTTTCTTTAAATTGCTAAAAACAGACCACCCTGTAGTAGCCCAGCTAGACATGCATTTATTAGGCTATTTTTCTCAAAATTGTTTTATGGAAAGAGAAGAGATTGATATAAATAGGAAGTTTGTTAACTGTCTCGTTTCCAAGGACAGTAGCCTTACAGAATTCGCACATTATTTAGCTCAGCATTTGACTCATAATTGTATTCAGCTGATAAAAATATCTTGATCTGAGAAACAAGACGTTTTCCATTTTTCTCTATTAGAACAAGGCAGTTACTGTATATTTCCTAAAAATGTGATGAGTTACTTTTTCAGGTTGTAGAACAAAATTGGAATTGTTTCAGGTGAAAGGAAATTTCGTCACCTGAAGTACTCCCAAAGTCTTTAAGGACTCCCAGAGGTCTGAGTTCCCAAAGCCAGCAGAGAAAAACCACACCAGAGCTGACCTTGGTTCACACTAAGTGTCTGTGTGCCCTCCAATGGCGGGAAGGGTCTAGCATCTGCTGTGACCTGTTCTGTTGAGGAAGGTATAGCCTCAGCAGGCCTTGTCCCAGTGGGGTTGCCTGCCTGGTTCAGATTGTTCTGCAGGGAGGAAGCCTCCTCACACATCCTGGGTGCCAGATGAAATATTTTCAGATCAACCCCTATGAATATTGAGTCTTCAGCCCTGGTGAAAACCTTAATTAGCTAGAGAGGCTCAGGATTTCCCAGTGTGTATAATACTTAAGCTCCCAAGAAACATTTTAAAGTAATTTTTGGTAGCCCAGGCATATTGTTAAAGTGTATAGGGGGCGGGGGCACAGCGCCTGCCAGGCAAGCGCAAGGTCGTGAGTTCGATTCCCGGTACTGGAAAACAAACAAACAAACAAAAAAAGTGTATAGAAGGGGGAGGTTGGTGATAATTATCTTTTGACATAAATAAAAATAACTTCTAAAAGTTATGCTAGTTAACATAATTATTTAATATTTTAACCTGCTTTCTAATAGCAATTCACCTAGCCAACCCCTTCTTAGGGAAAGTTGAGTGAAAAAGAAAGTTGAGTGAAAAAAAGACTAGAGGTCTGCATAGAATTGCAGGAGCAAAGATAAGCAAATCCTGAGAGAAAAGTCTTTATTGAAGAGCCTCAGTCTGTATTTGGTTACTGTTGGCCTTAAGAGATCAGCTGATCTACATGGCCATGCTGAGGATTCAGAGAGGCCATTATTGAAGTGACTAGGATGAAAGCATTTCAGATTGAACTTTCTGTGGGCTTTATATGTCACAACAGATGTAAAGAGTGGGCTATTAATAGAAAATTCTTCCTGAAAAGTCAAACCCATGGTTATTCTTAAGGTACTGAACTATTTTAGGTCTTCTTTGTTTTGCAATAAACTGCACCCATAAAATGGTGGTGTACTTGGTTACCAAATGTGATTATATAATCAGAATCAAGTTCTGAGTCTGGGGGAATTCCATACAATATAGGTTATTAAGACTGACATGTAGAGATTTTGATCCTTGATTAAAGTCTAGGATCTGAGAAATCACTATAGCTGATTCTGTTAGGAGCCAGATTTAGAAATGATTTCAGTATTTTTGGGAATTCTCTTAAAATTTTCTCTCTGTGAGAAGTTCCGACTCTAAGTCAAAATTACAGGCAGTATCAAAATGGTAATAAACTCAATTGGGGAACAAGCAGGCTGTTTAATTTGCTAGCATCTTAGTCTTTTGGGGCTGCTATAACAAACTAAAATGGGTGGCTTACCAGACAGTCATTCTTCACAGTTCCAGAGGCCAGGAAGTCCACTGTGCAGACACCAGAAAATGTGGTGTTTGGCGAAGGCCTTCTTCCTGGTTCAGAAGTGGCCATCTTCTTCTGGTTGCCTCAGTTGGTGCAAGGGACAAGGCAGGACTCCAGGGCCTCTTTTAGAAGCACACTCATGACCTCATCACCTCCCAAAGGCCCTGCTTTCTAATACGTCACACTGAGGGTTGAACGTTCAACAAACCAGTTTTAGGGGAACACGACATTGTGTCCATCACACTTAGATGTTTACATCCGTGCTGCAACTTTCTGCCGTTACTAGGGATTGAAACTGTTATTGTACCTTTGCACTTCGCCTTTTTTTTCCTTTTTGATATGGAGAAGTGATTCGCCATACTTAGTGACTTCTCACTAAGTTGCCCAGGCTAGACTTGAATTTATAATCCTCCTGCCTCAGCCTCCAGAGTGTTGGAATTACTGTACAGGCTTACACCACCATGCCTGGCTGGGATTTTTTTTTCATCACACTCTAGTACATTTAAGTTCAGCTTCAATGTGTTTGCATAATAACATCTTGGTTTTATTAAAATGGTGTAATGATCAGTGGGTGCCAAACTTTGTAATTAATGGGGCTTTTGTTTAAAAAATTAAAATAATATTTTGTGAGAATTTTTTCAAAATAAAATTATTAGAGAAATAATTTTTGAGCTGTTCTTCTTAAAAGTTTGCCCAGTTCTTTAATTAGTTGTGCATCTTTGGGATCATGCAGTGGGAACATAAATGAGGATTTTAGATTTTACACATGTTAAGCTCTAGCATTTATTCCTTATTCAAGAAAAGCAGTTTCACTGTGCCTTCACATTTTTAAAAAGGAAAATTCTCACACACTGTAAATAAGGAAAAGAACCTACAGTATACTTTTTCAAGTCCTCTTACATTATTAATTTATGATTAAATTTCTTTCTAGTAGCATTTTTCATGATTTCTACTGTACATTAGGAGGCACATAAGAAACATCAATTGTGTCTTCGTGTATGCATAAAAAAGTAACAAAGCAATACCCTGAGGAATTCACTCTGAGATTTTCACTCCTACTTTAGGTTTTATAAAAATGCTGGTCATGCTCCACCTACTTCGTGTTGCAACCCTTCAGGCTGCCATTTACAGTAGACAAACGCAGTGCTGTTTTTTACCGTGGTATGACAGCGCCTTCTTGTGGTTGTAGCCCAATGTGTTGGTCAGGCTTGTTGGGACTGCGTAAAAGTAAATTGATGCTTCCTTTATAAAAATGAAATTACTTTATACGGTTCTGTAGTAACATTTTGTGCGTGAAGAAATAAAAATCTGAACTGAGTTGAATTAAAAGTCTCATGATGTTAATCTTTTATTTTGAAACCTTCAGTTGTTATTTCTTATAGGGAATAAAACTATTTGTTCAGAATTTTTCCCTCCTTAAACTTACCTTGTAACTGTTTTTGTTTTTTATATTCTACCTTTAGGACAGGGTAACCTTCAGGAGAATAATTGTAAAAAACAATGCCAAAAAGAGAAAAATGTATGAAAGCTTTATTGAGTCACTGCCGTTCCTTAAATCTTTGGAGGCAAGTATATGTTTATGCTTTAATTCTGCTTTAAAATTTGTTTCGTTAGGAATACTTAGTTCTACAGAAAAATATCTTTGAATGAAAATCCGTTGGAAAAGACCATATAGCGATGTTAGTTTTTATAATTCAGTATTTGTTTTGTTAAGTTACAGACTCATATCCAACATCTATAGCAAATTTTGTGTGCGATCTTTGGCTAATAGCAGACTGATCATGTAAGTGTTGGCAAGATCCGGCAGTTGTGCCATAGGGGGAGGAGTTACCTAGATACTGAGTATCCTCACTGGCTTCATCTTTACTGCCATTCCTCTTTTCCTTTCCTCTCAAAATTAGTATCTCAGGCCCCACCGTTCTGCTCCGCTCCTCCCCCCTTCTTTCCCCGCCCTCCCCTCCCCTCCCCTCTCCTCTCCAGCTACAGATACTCACTTGGTGAATGTGTCAATTCCCGTGGTCTTACATACTGCGTATAGGTTGATACCTTCTAAAATTGCTGCCAGCCAGTTATTTGACATCTCCTGCTAGGTGTCTAACAGACATCACAAATCTAGCACACTCCACATTTCCTTTTTCCTTCCCGTCTTGGTGGATGGCAACACTATCCTTTCAGTATCTCAGGGCCAGACCCTTGGAGTTGCACTCACTCATCTGTTTTCTCCACCCATGCATCTGTTAGTGACCTTACGCACCCTATTTTTAGGATATATCCAGAATCTGGTCATTTCCCACCAACTTTACCACTGTTATCTCCTGCCTGGGCCATCATCCCCTCTTGCCTGGCTTGTATCAGCTGCATAACTCTTTAAAGCGCAGATCATGGAGCCCTGTGTTTAAGGCCCCCACACAGGACTCGCCAGCCCGACCCCATTTTCCACTGCTGCACTCCCATCACCCTGTCCTGGACGCGCAGCTTCCTGCTGCTGCTCACACCCGCAGCTCTCACCTACTTTGGGGCGTGCATAATTGCCATCTGTCTTCATGGTCCTCCTACACAGTCCCGTGGCTCATTCCCTCATCTCCTGCATTTCTTGGCCCAGATGTCTTGTCAGTGAGACTGCCTGCTTATGTTTTTTATCTCTGAAAGGAGAAACTTGGAGAGAGAGTTGGTACCCTAAAAATTCAGCTTTGTTTTCTTTACATACATTACTGTTAATGCATTTCTCGATATTTTACTATTGAGATTTTATTCATATTATACATGGGTTATACCAATACTCTCTTAATAGAGTCATCATTTATTCATTCTATTACTTTAGCTAATTCATTTTGTTTTATGTTCTTGTACCTAAAAACTCTGAAGTTAAACATTTGTTCTACAATTAGTGTCTGAAAATTGCAACTGAATATATTTGAAATATTTTAGGGTAGTTAAAAAGGGGCAAAAGGTACACTTGTGTGTACCTACATCTTATAAAATGGCAAATGTCAGCATAGTAGTGTTCCTCCTTTCTAATGTCTGTTGGATTGTCAGGTCGCGCCTGGTAGAATTTTGGCTGCATTACAGGAAGCATGTTAGGCAGCTGATCTCCAGCAACTTAGTTCTTTAAATAGAAATGGATTGGGTGGAAATCCAATGCCTTCGGACCTATGCCAGTAACATAAAGAAGAAAACCAAGCCAGGAGGGCACTCTGGTAAATTGGAGAACATGTGCTCCGCTAAAGAAACAGCTGCTATTCCACCATAGTTTTATTGTTGCCATGTGGAAATTTGGGCTGAGAGTTGCTGAGTCTTCTGATTTTTCAAGAAAAGCTGGAAATACAAATTTTGTTTATTTTAAGGTGCTTGCAGTTAATGTAACAAACACACATACAGCCTACACACGGCTGAATGATGATTTTGCTATAGGCTACTACTTTTCAACTTGTGTAATAGCTAAGATTACCTAACTATTGTGTATCTATTTAATATTGTCTTTGTTTTTCTTTCGGTAGGTTTCTGAACGCCTAAAAGTGGTAGATGTGATCGGCACCAAAGTATACAATGATGGAGAACAAATCATTGCTCAGGTATAATTTTTTGTTTTGGTACTGAGAATGCAGCTCAGAGGTTTGCACATGCTAGGCAAGTTCTCTACCCCTGAGTCCATCCCCAGCTCTTAGACATTTCTAAGTGTGGTTCCATTTCAGGTTATATTCCAAAAGATTTTTATACATTTATGTCTTAACAAACTTTGTTTCTGTAAGTAGTATTTAGTGGTAGTTTAAATGAATGTTACTTCTACCAAATGCCTGCAGAAATGGTTTAATTTACAGCTATTAAGCTATTTGAATATTTTCACTTAAATGAAAGTGAAAATGGTGCTCTTGATATACACGTATTAAACCATCAAATGGTTTTCTGCATAGTTTTGTAATACATGACATGAAGGCCATGTGTAGGTATAAGGGTAGAATATCACTTGTGAGAGGAGAAGGAGGTGAGTGTCCCATGAGATTAGTAAGAGCCCCGAAGTCCATGGGAGATAGCGTAGCATTCTCCCCAGTTGAGTCATGATGAAACCTCCTGAGGCTCTGCAGATAACACCAAGAAAACACCAAGAAGAGATGCTGTACCTCATTATGCTGGCTTCCAAGTACTAAATATTAAACAAATTTGTTCTTCAACTCCTATTGCTTTCCTGAGATCCCATTTGGAACCAATAACATTACATATCTCAGTTAGCATAGGGCTACTAAAAAGTAGCATATGAACTTAGTTGAAGTTTTCGCAGCGTGCGGACAATAGTACTTTATTTCTTAGTTATATTTTTTGAAGCAGTGAGCAAATGGTTTAAGTGGATTTTTAATAGATGCTATGATTTTTTTTTTTTTAAATTACAGCATTGTATTGCATTGTGCTCTTTATCTGAATGATTGTCTCTGTATGTGAAACAAGACTTAAGGTCTATAATACTGAAGGAAAAAAATCATTGTTCAGAGGCAAATAAGTAAATCTCTCAATCTCTCTCCTTGTACAGTAGTATATATGTGTGTGTGTGTGCACCTGGATTGGAGCAGTCAGGGATTAGGAAGCAGTGCAGTCAGAATGGAGAGTAAGGCTAAGATTCTACTCTCTAAACTGTCAACAAAGGATAGAGCATTTTTTAAATGCTTGTTTGTTGTTTGTTTCTTGGTGCTGGGGATTGATTCCAGGTTCTGACACATGCTAAGCTTGTGTTCTACCACTGAGCTAAACCTTAGCCATGTAAATGCTTTTTAAAAGTTCTGATTTTCAAGTACAGATTTACAAGATGTTGCAAAAATAGTATTAAGAGGTGCCATGTACGCTTCACCTAGTTTCTCCCAGTGCATCTTGCGTCACTCTTGTACAGTATCGAGACTGGCACTGGCACAATCCAGCTTTACTCAGACTGCACTAGTTTTATGGACATTTGGAACACAGTTGTGCAGCAGCTGATAGACCTATCATGATTTGTGACACTTGAAAATTTACCATGAGGCTCTTCAAAAAATGATACAAAATAAGTGGGGGCCCAAGGATGCAGCTCAGTGGAAGAATACATGCTTAGCATGTACAGTGCTCAATCCCCAACACACACACACACACACACACACACACACACACACACACAGAGGAAAGGAAGTACGCTATGCTCAGGATTTATTCAGGATACTTGTGCACTTTTAGTTATCTTTTAAGCATTTATAATCATGTATCAGTACTATATTCTAGAAATCTAGATTCAACGTTCATTTTTGTGGTATAACCTGAGTGAGGTTTTAAAAACTTGTGTTTCTGCAGAATCACCTTGACAGGTTATGTTTTAAAAAAAAATTTATTATTACTTTTCTATTCTGTATTAATTCAGAAGGCATCTTTGGAAGTCAGGTCTGAGTTCATTGAAAAACAAAACCAAGAAAAAAATGGTCATGTGGTTAGAAATGGCATCATTTCTTAGAATTTTAGAAGTTTTTTCAAGGCCTTGAGGTGGATTGCCATAGACTGGCATTTTGGATTTTGGTCCTTACCTAACTGCAGTGAAATCCTCTAGGCTCACATCTGCGCTTCCTGTGCATCTGGGTGCTTTCTGCTCTTTTTATCCCATCACCAAACCAGCACTTGTTACTTTAGGACCCAGGGTGTACATTTTAGCATTTTCCCAGGGTTGCAGGGATCAGCCCCTGTATTCCTGCTGACGGAGGGGACTGCTGCGTGTACCACAATGTTGCCATTTCTAACTACGTGTGCTGCTAGTCAGGCTGAAATTTGGGGGGAGATTGTCAGCCCACTGTGATTTGCCGTATTTTCTTAGCTTTTAGCAGAAATACTGTAGTACGAGAGTCTTCTTATTTCAAATAATTTTACATGTGAAACTGTTACTATGTAATTATCACCCATGACCTCTCAAATTAGAAAAGAAATAGCCAGTTCCCATGGAATTCACTTTTTGGGCAAATCTCTGTGCATAGGGTTAGGTTGATTTCAAGACATCTGTCAGATAAATTTGCATTTCATTCTGTTTTTTGTTTATTCTGATAGGGAGATTTGGCTGATTCTTTTTTCATTGTAGAATCTGGAGAAGTGAAAATTACTATGAAAAGAAAGGTAAGCGTTCTTAAGTCCTAAAAAATCTCCATAATAACAGCAAGATACACAATAGGTTTTCTTTTTTATGTTTATACCAGGTTAACTTTTATTTTTAAAATAAAATGAGCTGAGTAAAAATTAACATTTTTACTTACTTTGTCAGGGTAAATCAGAAATAGAAGAGAATGGTGCAGTAGAAATCGCTCGATGTTCTCGGGGACAATACTTTGGAGAGCTTGCCCTGGTAACTAACAAGCCTCGAGCTGCTTCTGCGCATGCCATCGGGACCGTCAAATGCTTAGGTAGGGATTACAGTGGTGGGGACCGAAGTTATGTCTGCATTATATATATTTATGTTGTACAAATAATTTTATTGAGTTCATGAATGTTGTGGTCCCTACAAAATACAGTAAAGTTAGGACTCCCTGCATTATAAAATCAATTTGTGGAAGCCATTTCTTCATTGAAATTTTTTACATACAGATATATTCAGTTCTTTCGTATATGTATTAAAAACATATGTATTAAAAACACCTTATTATAATAATTGAAAAAACCTCCGACTCCCAAGTTTTATATCTGACTTGTCAAGTAAACATGTGCTGTATTCCTCAAAAGAGAAGGCTAAAGTGCTATCTTTGTAAAGTTTGCTGTTAAGCCCTTCAGGGGAAGTTGGAATGTCTATGCGAATCCTGTATCTCCTCAGCTGAGCACTGGGACAGGAAAGATGAGGTTTGTGGAAGCATCGTCAAATGTTCTTTGTTAATCAGCTCTCTATTCTACTGTAACACCTTGGCAGAAATGCCAGCTTTACCTGGAAGACATCTATATGTATCTGAGATTTATATCTGAGAAATCACTTCAATAATGAAAAATTAATTCAGGAAGTGACAATATAGATGACATTTTCTTTAAGAAAATTGATTCCAGAATAATTAGCCTGTTCATGTTCTTCATCCCCAATTCAATAGGATAAACTTAGTTTCGGTGTTTTTAAGATTTGCAAGGATTGTCAGAATTAACTTCTTAGAGAAGTCACTTTTTAAAAGGTTTTAAATAAGGGTATTAATCAAGTGATTTGCTTAGATGAAAGAGAAGACAATTAGAACTGACAGGCAATTTCCCTGAGTAGAACTGCTAGACAGTAAGAGTAAAAGTAACATAGGGAAATTCTATTGCTCTTTTCTAGAATAATCATATTAATATTAAAGAAAGTATGAAAGATACAGAAAATAATAGGAAAAACAGAATCACCCACACCATCACTACCACTCAGTGATTTCCAGTATTATAATTACTTTTTGTCTTTTTTTTTTTGCGTGGATATTTTTGTTTTTAAGGAATTTTGGGTTTTTGTTTGTTATTTTGTCTTTTTGAAATGGGGTTTTGCTCTGCAGTTCATGCTGGCCTTGAACTCACTTTGTGGTCCAGGCTGGCTTCGAACTGACAGCAGTCCTCCTGTCTCAGCCTCTTGAGCCTGTGATGGGTTATAGGCATGCACCATTTTAAGCATTTTTTGTAAATTACTTCATTTGTCTATTACAGCTTAGCAATTTTCCTATTTTATTACATCAAATTTTAACATTCTATCAGATAAATACATATAATTCATCCCCACTGGTAAATACTTTATAGGTTTTAGCTCCAGTTTGTGTTTTTGTATATAGATGACTTTTCCATATTTTGGATTTTTCCTTAGAAATGTCTTTCAGAAGTGGATATTTTAAAATGACTTTAGATACATATTAGCGGATCACTTTTACTTGTAATCATTTATATGCCACTAGTGGTGCAGGATTGTCCATTGATCTTATTCTTACAAACATTGCCTTTTTTACCTTTGTAAATTTGAAAGGTGAAAAAGATGTATTTTAATTTCTGTTTCTATGGTAGACAGTATGATTACATTTTCCATCTGAATCTTACTCAGTTTTCAAACCCATGAGACAGACAAGCTAAAATTCTGTAGCACATAGTTATAGAAGTGGACAAAAGTTTTACATTGACTGCCACTTTGAGTTGGAAAGACAGCGGTCTGAGTAAACACTACAGAAGGTAACATTTGGCGTTTACAGCATGGCATTGCAAACGCTGAGCACAAGATAGGAGTGTTTCCTATCTTTCCACTTTTAAGAAGTTGATGTTACCAAGACACAAACATCAAAATTTACTCTTACGAGTTCCCAGGCTTTGCTGTGATTGTCTTTCATACTTTTCCCAGCTTAGATCAGGAATCACACCAGCCTAGCGCTGCAACTGGTGAGGGACCTACGAGCGTGGCCTGAGAAGGTTCTAGCCGCTTCCTTTATGAAGTAGAATGTCTTTTGTAATTTACAATATTTACCTGAAAACACCCTTGCATTTTTGATCTATCACAATTACAGTGTCATCATGGAAATTTTATTGGAATGGGTATCATGACTAGAAATTCAGCAGTTTTGCAAAGAATATTTTTCATTTATTCTTTGCTTTTCCTAGCTATGGACGTGCAAGCATTTGAAAGGCTTTTGGGACCTTGCATGGAAATTATGAAAAGGAACATTGCCACCTATGAAGAACAATTAGTCGCCCTGTTTGGAACAAACATGGATATTGTTGAACCTACTGCATGAAGCTGAAGTATGGAGAAAGAAGAGCTGTAGTGACAGAATTACACAGTAGTGGTTAGTCCACTGAGAACGTGTTTGTGTAGATGCCAAGCATTTTCTGTGACTTCGGGTTTTTTCCTTTTTTTTTACATTTACAATGTATCAGTAAACAGTAGTGATTTAATAGTCAATAGGCTTTAACATCACTTTCTAATGGGTAGTTAATTTAAAAATCAGCATATTGATAAAATGACTTTCTACTCCACAAAATTATTCGAAGGTTTTATTTAAATGATTGTAATATATTGAGAGTACCCATGTTTCAGAAGACAATTAAAAGACACTATCTTAGGCAGTATGTGTGTGACCTATTCAGATGCGTAACAAGTTAGTGACTGTGCCCATGTAAGAGGGAGTCGTGCTCCACAGCGCGGCGCCACGTTCTGTTTATAACTCATTATGCAGTCAGATTTTCATCATTTTCATTTTAAAGTCTTTTCTGGCTTGATAAGTTGTGTGGCAGCCTTGGCCTGTTGGTGAAATGGTAGAAAACATCATATGCAATTTTAAAACTTTTTATATTTTTGCAATAAAGTACATTTTGACTTCTTCTGCATAATGTCAGTAACCAGTGTATTCCAGTGGTTTTAAGGACTGGCAGCGTATTATGATGATTGGGAAAAGAGTCTTTAAAGAGGAGAGTTCATTAATGCATTTCTTTCTTCATCAAGCATATATATTTCTGGTTTCCCTTTTCATTTTGCAACTTGCTATATTCTTTGTCTTTAATTTTGACACTTAATGTCAAAAAGTTTTTTTAAAGCTATTTAAACTTGTTAAACTTGGTCTTTATTGTCTTCTAAAAGCCCCAGAGCTTACAGTTCATCAAAGAGAAACCCTCCTTTACCAGTCACATATTGGGACCCTTACGTACACGTCTGCATAATCTGATTCCTCACACGGATCTGCCACCATGGGTTTCTGGTCTTCCTCCTAGTGGTTACCAGCCCACAGACTCCGATCAGCCGCCAGTGAGGTTTATCCTCCCCCGAAAAAATTCCTCAAAGGTGGTAGGAATAAAATTGTATAAGCAAAATTGTATATAACAATAAAAGGAATTTCTGTCCATAACCAATAGACCATTAAGCCTTGCCATCTGCTTTATGCCAACTCACAAGTACAGAAAACTTGTAGATTTTCATTGACCACTGACATGCTTATAGAAGATGCCAGAGAAGAATTTGATTATATTCAACCAAAACAGTGTACTCTGATTCTTAAGCCATGACCCGGTGTCTAGACATTAATCCCAACTAGTTGTTTGCTTTCAAATGGGCAATTTCATTTTGGGAAATGTGTTTTAAAAGAATATACATGGGTGAAATTATTTTGTGGCTACTGTAGTCTTATTAGAGAATGTTTATGGTCCTACTTGTATATGAAAACATGGCTAGAATGTTAATTGGATAATGTATATATAAGTAATTAAAGTATGTAAATTGTAACTTCAGCCACATTTTAGAAGACTGTTTAATATCTTTGCCAAAACCTTCTTGTAGGATATGCGAGCCTCTCTACATGAAGATGACTTGTTTACTATTTTAGATTTTAAAAGCCATGTCTGTTAAACAAGGAAAAATACAAACAAAAAAAAACCACCCAAACTTCTCGTTCATCATTCTGTATTCATTACTCACTTTTTCAAGTTAATCTCTTTGGTTGCATAATCTGATTGTTAACTAGTCATGGAACAGTAAATAAATGCCTGTTTAATAAAGAACTCTGACTAAGGCTACAAATGCCAGTTACATTATTTTCAGTATTGTTGGTTATATTTAAATTTTCCTTATAATAAAGCACACTTTTTATAGTAAAATTTATGAATTACTGTTTTTAATACTTTTTTGCTTACTAACTATACCTTACATAGTATAGTCATAAATGCAGTGAAAAGCATGGTAGACACGTGGCATATGGAAGCCAAGACAGCAAGAAAGTGCAGTATGGTTTTGTATGGCAACGGGGTTGTCTTTTAAGATTTTACCTATTGATCATTTGTGAGAGAAATGATTGTGGTATGTTGCACATTTGGCCATTTACAATAATGAACCTGGCTAACTAGGACATTTATATGTAAAATTATCAAATTAAAATAGCTCAAGTTTGACTTGTGGATGTCATTATTTATCACTAGCAGAATCCTTACTGCTTGAGGATTCCTCACTGAAGTTTTCATTCAAGGTTAAAGCCGCTTGATGCCTATTATGTCTGGCTAAGGAGAGGTTGAGGAATTCTTCCTGGAAAAGAAAGTTGCTTCCCCTTCTTCGTTTTCAGTAAATAGAAAGCTGGTATCTATGCTTCCTACACACCAATATGAATCAGAGCTTTGTACATATATTTTAACACATATACCACTTGTGACACAGTTGGGTGAATAGATTTGGGTTATTGTTATAACCTTGGCTGGTGATCATTTCAAATGTTTTAAAATGTTTCAAGTGAAATGGTATGAAACAAGGACTTGGGATTTATTGAAAAGTGTAGGATTAAGAAAAATGCTGAGTTACTTTTCTTTGCAAAGCATCTTTAAAACTATTGATAAACCCAGGTCCAGTGGTGTAGGCCCAAAATTCCAGCAGAGGGAGGCTGAGACAGGAGGATTGCCAGTTGAAGCACCATCTGAGTAACTCAGTGAGATGGTCTCAAAACAAAAAATAAAAAGGCCCAGAATGTAGCTCAGTAGGCATCCCTAGCACCAAAAGAAAAACTTTCAAGAAATGTTGTATTTATTGAGGAATAGAATATCTTCAGTATTATTAAAATAATGTATAAGCTTGGAGGTGTTAATCTGGATTAAGCCAAGAGTTTGTTAAGTAGCTGGAGAAGGGATTCTAGTAGCTACATAAGTTGTTCACACCCAAGGGAGAAACAGAGTCATAATAAAAATTGAAAAGAAAGTAGCCTGAGGTACAGCCTGAGAATGAGTGTTAAAAGAACTTTGACAAAAAGGAAGTTAGAATAAGAGCTGAGACAACCTTATGTGCTCTGTAATACTTTTAAAGGTAGCAAAACTGGTTGAGCAACTGAAATAGTTGCCTGTCTTCACAGGTATTAAAAGAACACCTTACGAGTGTAACAAGTGAGGGCAAGGTAAGCAGCAAAGTGCACCAGTTACTTGCGGAGGACCTGGATGCTCTATGGTAAGTGTGAGCCTTCCGATCAGTGCAGTGTGTATACCAGGGAGAATCAGGGACTGTACTTCTTACTTTGTAAGTTGATGACAGAACTCAGGGAATTGAGAGCTCTTGGTTTCTTGTCCAATTCTTGGCTATTTTCCAACTTTGCCTGTTAGCATAGTTTTATATAGGGAAATTGGAATACTAAATATTAACCTAGTATATAGAGAAATTTGTATAATGTTTCCAATGCAGAATAGGTGCTTTTGGTTGTTTTTTTTTTTTTTTTCTGGTATCGGGAATCGAACTCACGACCTTCACGACCTTGCGCTTGCCAGGCAGGCGCTGTGCTGCTGAGCTAAATGCCCAGCCCGAACAGGTGCTTTTGAGATGAAAATATTTCATTTTACCAACAGATGTGGGTCTTTAGCATTTTATGCTTTAAGTTGATAAATCTAAAATTGCCTTGAAAAGCCTGAAGAGTTATCTGTACAGGTCAAGATATGAGGTATGATATGAAATTATTTGTCCAGCCCATAAAAGTGAAGTGCCTCATTTTCGGAAGGTAGTTTTTTCAGATTTTGATTTAACCATACATGAGTCTTGCCATTTTTCCAAATGACGTTGTAAAATGTGTGTATGTGAGATAATATTTGATAAGCTCTAAATGTTTGATTATGGTATGTTAATGTATTTTTTTTTTTTTTTACTCAACTAGAAAAACAAAAAATGACTTTTCTTCCAGGCACAAGAGAAAGTACAAATGACTTTGAAACAACAGCAGGAGCCTTGGCTCTTTAATGCAACAACCCAGATGTGAAACATGAAGTATTTGACTTGAAGTTTAGAGTAGGTCCCCTGAATGAGTTTATGCAGCAGATATACACAGTCACAGTCTTGGATAGAAGCACATCTAACTGCTCGTTTTCTCTTTGCCCTAATTGAAAACCCACAAGAAAATCAACTTTGTGATTTCACTACCTCTTTTAGGCAAAAGGTTGATACTTAGTACAAATGTAGTTGCCTTTATATGATGACTATATTCTTCAAATATATACCAGTGACTTTTTTTTTTTTTTTTTTAGGTACTGGGGATCAAACTCAGGACCTTGCGCTTGCCAGGCAGGCACTTGTGCCACTGAGCCATATCCCCAGCCCCCAGTGACTTTTTTTTACATGGAAGTAATACTTTATTTTGAGGTAAGGTGCTAATAATAAGACACTTGGAAATGTTTTTCCCCACTATTGCTCTGCAAAGCTCAATTTAAAGATGTTGGGCCAGGGATATAGCTCAGCAGCACAGCACCTGCCTGGCAAGCATGAGGACCTGAGTTCCATTTCTGGTACAAAAAAAAAGTTTTATTACTATAAAGTGTTACGATATGCTGCATAACTTAAAGAAATTGAAGTGTAATAATTAGACAAATACTTTGTTTGCATTTGCATGATTGGCCCTTGTAAGGGCAAAAATGAATATTGCTTATATAATGTAACTGGAAGATAAGACCTGTTCACAAATAACAGTACTATTCCTCTGATTTTAATTGTTCTTTACCAGATAAATGCCCCTAAACTGAGGTACCTTTGACTAGGAAATGAAAGAAAATGCATAGAGAAGACCCTAGGATATGAAATAGTTATGAGCAGAAAATAATATTGCTGTTTGCATTAAACAGTGCAGATAACAGAAATTATTCTGGGAAACTGTGAAAGACATATCATCTGAGCTTGATTTTAGGAAATGTGAGATGAAGTAGAATTATTTGCTGCCATCTCTAAATAATCGCATTTTCATTAATGCCAACTTGGACAACTTGACAAAAAAATTTTGAGGGCAAATGAGAACAAGAAAGGGTAGTCTATGCTGAGGACACCCAAATTTATTTCTGTAGACTTGGATCTCTTAAAGTCCAGATGAATATACTGAGCTGTCTCCAGGGCCATGGTACTTGAATTTCTTGCCTACACAAGGAGTTTAGCATCTAAAACTGAACCCATCTTTTCCCTTCCTCACATCCCCAACTCTCTTCTCGCCAGTATTTCCTATCTCCGTCAATGGAAACAATAAATCTCAACTACCTAAGCCAAAACTTCAACGTTCTTGATTCCTCCCTCATCCATTGATTCTACTTCCTAATGGCTATAGTATTAAGATACCCACATAGCAGCCACTGAAGAAAGGTCTTGCTGCTTCATGGTTATCTAAGCAAAATCTAAACTTGGCATCAATAATTACAAGAACAAGAGACATACTACTCACTTCTAAAATGGCACTCATTAGCTACCAGACATTACAATTTATCTGATTACTTTGAATTATAAAATTAACATGTTCAAGTGTTGTAAGGTATATGGAAGGATATTTGTAGACACTATCTGAAAAGCTTGGACATTTACTGTTGTAGAGCACACAGGGGCTTTATTTCCTAGTTTTAGTATTTGTTGGTTTATTTACCTTTTGGCAGTTGGAAGAGTGGTATTCTCAATAGTCAGGCAAATGCCATGTGCTTGCACTTACTTCTTATTCTAGCATAGTCGTCACTGGTGTGCCAGCCATGGTAGAATCAAGAGATTTTGCCTGTATGATTGGAGATGAGTTACATCTTTTTTTCCAGTTTTTAAAATTTTTATTGGTACATGTTTGCATTACATAATAATTATATTCCTTGTGGGGGGTTGTTCTTAAATAGGATTTTTCTAGGTTCATTTTTCTCTCTAAAAAATTAGAACTTTGCTTATAACAATCCTTCAAACCACTGAAAATACTGAGATGACAATTTCTTGATGTATTTTGGCATACATGTAGGCATGTACATACGTGTATGTACATACATAAATATCAATATACCTATATAATTGGGTCCACACTAAGATGTGTTAAGCTGATTTTTTAATGCTAGTTTTATTGTGGAAAGATCTGAAGGACAGGAAAATTTCTGTTTTAAGAGTATAACTTGTATACATAAAGCTTTCTAAGAGCTCTTCATAGTTTTGTCCTTGATCTTCATTGTGGCTAATGGTTGGCTGGTTTTGTTGGTTACTCAGGAGTTAATGATAGGGCTAAAGGTGTCACTGTGTGCTAGAGTGCTTACCTAGCTAGCATGTGTGAGGCCTTGGGTTCGATCCATACAACTTCCTCCATCCCCCAAAAAAGTAAAAATAAAAGAATGATGAAGAGTTTTGTTTTGCAGTACTGGGGGTTGAATCCGTCACAGGGCCTACATCCTCAGCATTTATTGAGATAGGCTCGCATTAAGTCCTTAAATTGCCCCCCACCCCCGGTAGGCTTGAACTTGAAATCTTACAGCTTTAGTCTCCTAGAGTGAAACTGGACTAATAGGTCTGTGCTACAACGCCTGGCTAAGAATATTTTTTAAAAAAGCATTAATGATGATGATCCTGTTAAATACACGTAAGGTACAAATATGGTCATTTAGCTTCCAGGGAAGTCAGAAGACAGGTATAGGGAACTGTAATAGTCCTTTTCAGTTGTGACCAAGCTATCTGAATTTAATTCATATTTTAAAACTTGGACATAAAGGAGATAAAAGTCTGCAAACAATGTTGTATATTTTTGTGCTATTAAAGGATAAATGTTAATATGTACACTATCTGGATCTGAAGCAAGTCCCATTTATTCCTCCCATTCTGGTGTCCTCCAATAAAAAATACCACAACTAACCAAGGCTTTTGGTAAACACTTTTAAATAGTTCTTTTAAAGTAGCATTCAGCCAGAAAGCAGATCTTCCAGTGTGTGTGCTTGAGATGTGTAAGGATGAAGCAGTGCCTCAAGCTTTCGTGATCTAAATAGGAAATAAAGACATCAATATCGCAGATACTAATTTAAAGCAATTAGGTGAACTCCATCGATTGATTTTTCGTTTAGTCGAGAAATAAATGTTGGCGTTTATACGTTTAAATTATGGAGCATGATGACTGCACAGTGAAAAGGAGGAAGAGGAGGACAGGGGAAGGAGGCGGCACAAGTGTACACAAAATAGAGACATTCATGAGGCCTATTAATTTCTGAAAGATGTAAACTCAAATTCTGTCCCCTTTTTCATGGGAGAAACAGTTCAACATTTTGTTGTTTTTCTTCTGAATTTTTTTAAAAAAATGTTTGATTACTATTACTGAACACAGCAAACATCTGATCACATGGTAGGGAACTCCCTAAAGGAATTTGAAAATTTGTTTCAACCTATGGAGATTTGGAATTTCTTGATTTTACTGACTTTCAGGTAGATTTAAAAATTTAAGAAATGTAGGCAGGTTTAAGGAAATAACTATGATTTTAGGCTCTTGAAATGTTTTAGATTTCTTATGAATATAAGTTTTCTTTATCTTAATTTTAAGCATACATTTAGTGATCTAAAGAAAACTTACAGCTTAGCTTTAACGATTAAACACTAGAGGTTCAAAGGAAAAAAGCTTAATAATGCTTTTGAAATGTGAATAGTAAAAATACCAATTACAGACTAGATGCTCTCCCCCGTGAGGACCGAAGGCCTTGTATAAAGGAGAGAGAACTATAAAGCGAGAAGCCACTCTCTGGATGAGTCAGAGCAATAGCACTCAAGTGGGGAACTCCTAGTGGAAACAAAGTGGAAAGACAGTTTTCTTTCATTATAGGTAGCTTTTGGGAGGGGAAAAGTATTATCCAAATTTCACCAGAGAAATTTACAAATAATTCACAAGTTAAACCTTGTGTCGTGCATTATGCCCGTTCGTATAACCTTACACAAAGAGAAAGGAGGTCCACATGGAAAATGTCTCTGCCTCAATTTCAAAGTAACCTTTCACCCCTCTTAACAGCTTTGTAAACCTGCAGGCCGAGCTGCTCTCATTGTCCGTCCTCAAGCCGCACAGCGCCTGACACAGCTGGCGCTTAATAAATCCCGTGTGAAATGAACAGAGTGGACGAGTCTTTTCACGTTGCTATCCTGGGGATGGTGAAGCAAGGCTCTGGATAAAGGAATCTAGTTCTTTCCACTGTCGTAAGGCCCTGCAGCCCATTCATCACCTTTCGTGCCTGGGACCCCGATTTGTGTGGCTGAGTCCCTCGAGAGCCTGCACTGCTTCCGCTTGTGCAGTCATCTCCTTCCCCTCGCACTAAAACAATACCTTGGCCTCCTGCCAAACTTTGAGCAGCAAGCGACTCTGGCTGTTTACGGCCCAGGAAGGGTGCTGCAAGAGGATGGGGCTGCTCAAGTGTTCGTGCAGGCCCAGAGGCAAGAGACCAAGCTTTAAAACACTCCCTTCCTCCACCCCCTCCCTTTTGTCCCAGACACCAAAACAAACGAGCTGATACACGTGTCCCTATGACTCTTGTTTACTATCAAGAGTGTGCTGCGCACTCACCTCTGGGATATGTAGTCCAACCGCTTCCTCTGATCTACAGTTTTGGCAGCTAAGGAGCAATCCTGAGACTACAAACCCACAATCCATTTCGGGAGCAAAGTTTGGCTCTGGTCCCCAGAGTCTCGGCAGCAGTCCAATCCGAAGCGGTGGCGCTAGTGATTGACACACCGTCTTCTCCAGTAAACACAACATAAAAGTCAATACACGCCCGCCTCCCAAGACGGACTATGATACCACCCAATCAGAAAGAGGGAAGAGCAAATGGCAGTTTTGCAAACCAGTAAGAGGGCGCAAGAGCTGGCAGGAGGTCCAACCCCCTAGGGGGTTGAAAGGGAGGGGGAAGACGAAGCTTGAAAGACTTGGTAATGGCGACGGGTTTGGTAAGTAGGAAAGTTTCGGTTGAGGAGTGAGGACGGCGGCGAGAGCGGTAGCGCGTTCTAGGGAGGTCGGCGTCGGTTGGTGAGGGCGTAGGAGAGCTGCTGGTGGTGTTGTCGCGGCGAGGGCCGTCCGCGCCGGGGCTGCCCGCACTCCGCGGCGGGTTTGTTGTCTCAGTTCGGAAGGGGCCGGGGTGGGGGCGGGGAAGGGAGGGTCCGGAGCCCGAGGGGACGAGCGGCGGCTGCGGGCCGGCGGGGTCTGTGCTCGTCCGCCGCGGGCT